TATGCGAGAACGTCTTCAGACGTCAAATCACTGTTTAACCAATTCTGTATTAATTTCATAAGTATTAGTGTGTAATAGAAAAGTTTATCATGGCTTAGTTTTCTCGAGTCTTCGTTCTTGAGATATTGAAAATCTGCTAGGTTTTTCGTCCCCCTTAGGTTACGTGCAAAATCGACTTTCGACTTCAAACTTTGCATGAACAAAGTTTTTCATGAAATGAGTTGATTGTGTAAGTTTTATCTTTTCTATTATTTTCTTTCTAGAAATGTACATATATAAATAAACAAAATTCACTTTTATATATGAAAGAATTTTGAATGTTCAATATCTTAGGATAGAAGATGCTAAAAAAAATTACACCTTGTTCAATGAACTTATTTAATTGAGAACTGTGTGTTTGCAGTCAATTCTCCATGTGATATGATAGTGACGAAAAACTATAGGAAAATTTCGATATCTCAAGAACGAAAGTTCGAGAAGCTAAACCATTTCAGACTTTTTTTTATTACTTATGAAATGAATATTGTCTCGGGCGAAAAGCAATTCGATACGTGAAGGGATTTTCTCATGAGTTTACCTGTCACTATTACTATTAAATTCAAAGAATATAAAAATTTGGATAAAGAACTGGATATTTTGAAATTTTAAACTTAAATGATTTTGAATATTTTTTCGACAGTTTCTTCCCACAGATGACACTAGTAACTGTCTATGATGATATTACATTGAATTATAATGTATTTGTGTTTTTAAATTTCAGTAAATTTTAACGTAATATAGCTTTCACTGAGTGTACTTGTGATGATAAAATCTATCGAAAAACTATGAACAAAAGTGTCGTTACTTGCTATGTAGTACTGGAGAAATCAGTGACGCTTGTATTTTGATTTAATAGTTTTTCACCAATCACAAGCGTGAAAAACGATGACACATCTTGTTTCTAGTATACATGATAATTTCGCAAAAAAAGAAAAAAGGGATTTTGTTAATTGATGACTGTTTTGTTCGTCTATATATTTTCGAAACTGCTATCAGTAGACTAAAAGAAACCTTGCATGATAAACGCACAATAAAAAATACAAATAGTTTTTTCATATTTTTCTTATTTTAGTTGTTAATCTAAATTATTATGATGGCATCGAACATTGCTGTTAATCCAACAGAACAACCACGAGAACTTTGCCGGTTTGTTTCATTTTCACATATGAATTACAAATGTATGCATATATATTTATATTGATATCTGTAGATATTTTCTTTCCAATGTATGTCGTTACGGTGACAAATGTTTTTATTCACACGACCGATCGACTGGACAAGTGAATAATGTCTGTCGATATTATCTGCAAGGAAAATGCCATTATGACAATCAATGCAGGTATGACGTACATTATTTTTCTTAAACCATCATTGCTGACAAGAAAATCTTCATAGATGTTAGAAAACTTTTGAAGTGAAACATTGTCCACAAGCTACTAGAATTTTCCTGTAGGACTCAACTTTTACGGTAGAATGAAAATTTCGAATTTTGTTCTGGAACTTTGTGGATAAACTCATCTGATCGAAGCTTTGACGCGGACGAAATTTCAGATCAAAATTTGAAACTTTGATTCTATTGTAAAAGTGGAGTCCTTCAGAAGAACTATAATAAAATGCCAGTAATTTAGTCAAATTGCAAATTGCGCTCATATCTTCTAAGACCTTTCTAGTCCATACATCTCTTACTTGTTAATGAAATCTCAAGTCAAAAGTTTTTGAGTATCGGAGAAGGTTTCCTCGTGAGTGGCTACGTTGTTCGACATATATCCACAATGTACTGTATATAAACCTTAGTATCACCAGCCATGGGATGATCCTAAACAAGTTACTAACAGATATTTATCTTTTATCAGTCGTAGGTTACACAACAGGCAATTTCTACAGAGCATATAGACATGACTTATTTTGTACTTGAAGTTCATTTTTGTTGACATTGAAATATTAATTTCTAGTATTCAACAAAAAAAAAATGAATGGCAAAAAGTGAAACTTGTAGAAGAAGATTTTCAATGTATAATGTTGAGTAGATTATTACCCTAAATTTTTCTTAGAAAAATTTTCATACTCAAAATTAACAAATGTCCCATCGTTCAATTTATTTTTCCGTGCTGATTCTAAATATGTCCTTATTTCTGTGTTGAATTACTTCTCAGAGATAAGAATACAGAAAATCTTGATCTTAGTTCAGTAGCATTTATTAATCTTTGTGCTAATTAAATAGACATGTCAAATAGAGAAAAAAAAGTCTGTGAAAATTTCACCGAATTTGGAACTGCGCTAAAGTGTGCATACCGACTTTTTTTTTGAAAACTCTTAGTTGAGAAAGCATGCCTATTTTTTCCAACAGAGAAACTATTACAATAAAAAATGTTTCATATAGAACGATAGAGCAAGCGGGCTCTACGATTTATTCCTAATTTTTCAAAGCCATTAAAGAGCTAGAACAATCTTTTTTAACCCTTCGTTGTTGTTGTGGGGTCCAAGTGAATCCACTTCACAGTTTTTCGTGTAGAACTATATTACCATTTGTTGTTTCTGACCATTCCTGTTCTCTAATCTCTAGTCGCTTGTTATTGTGTAGTATCCTTATCAGACATCGGGAATAAGTCCAACAGGAAAAAAAAGCAGCTGTGGGTCTGCATGGATCTCACAACAGCTATTGCGTTACTGGCAGCATTTTTCGTCTTGCTAAAGCTGCTAAAAGTGAAGTTTGCTTTACTGGTTCTCGGTTATCATGTTCCTTCTAAAAAAAAAACATGCTTAATCTTAATGTAAGCACTCATTAGAACTGAGCAAAAAAGAAAATATTATTTGTTTCCATTACAACCAGAACGAAAAGTTCGACAAAATTTTCATAATTGTGGACAAAATGTCTGCGTCTCTCCTTTTAGCAACATCACCATGGTAATTTGCCAAACATGTCAAGAAAAGAAATAGAAAAGATTTGTATTAATCAAATAAACGCAAACAAACTGGAATAAGAACAACTCCATCATTGTAACAGAGAAATTATAATTTTAGACTTTTTTAATCATGAAAGAAAAGAAGATGAAAATAAAGATAAACAAAAAGAAAACTGTATTCCCTTCTTATCTGCTGACGATTGTGTATGATAATATATGAGTGTAGTTTTACCTTACTAGACTGAAATGATGGAATCTATTGTCTGTTCAGTTATACTTCAATGCTATTATGAAAGTAGTTCAAATCAGCTTTGTTTTTCGATATTGTATACTAACGTATTGCCGCCACGGAAACTTTCATGTCAGTCTATACGACAAGAGTATTTAGAGATCTATAGTATACAAGTGAATAGGTTAAATAAAACAAAAATAACGATTTTTCGTGATTCTCTATGGGTAGATCCACGTGGATCCTTCAGCAGTAATGAAGGGTTAAATGAAAATGTGGGCCATAGGTCAAAGTATATTGAACATTATTTCAATTGCAAAGAGTATCACTTTCATTGTTTCATCGAATGTCCACAGTGGTATTCACTGCGTGTTGTGTACTGACTATATTGTGATATATATCTGCTCTTGTCTTTAGTTAGTGCATATGAGAAGCTTAAGAACTTCTGTTCAGAGCTACAGTTAATATTAGTTGTAGGAAAAATATCAAGCTATTGACTCTGCCGTTAGATAACACACTATCCCGCAAGGTAGTTGAAGGAGCAGGAATATTCTTCTTCTATTTTTTTATGCCTAATGATCTTGATCATTTTAAGATATGATCATGTTCGACCAAAACCGCAAACATCTATAACGTTGCAACCTGTTTCTTTACGAATTACTCCTCCTGTACAACAGAATATTATTAATAATCAATCACGACCTATCAATACTGAAGGTAGAAGTATTTAAAGTTTAATCTTTTGATCTTTAGTAAATATTAATTTTCGTTTTTTAGTACCAATGAGCTATGCAAGTGTTTGTCGTGGTAATAACGATATGATTGATCCGTCCAATATGACTCAACAATTATCTCCATCGGCATCTTCTTTTTCACTTCAATCATTATGTCCATATGCTGAAAAAGATGGTATATGCGAAGCACTAGAAACAGGACGATATTGTCCTTATGTTCATGGTGATTTATGTGATCTGTGTGAAATGCCAGCATTACATCCAACAAATGAAAAACAGCGAGAACAACATCGATTAGTAAGTAGAATGAATAATTTGTTTTTTGTTTTTGCTTATTATTACATGAGAAAATTTGTTGTTTTTATCAAAGGAATGTTTAAAAAAACATGAAGCTGAATGTGAAGAAGCATTTGCTATACAACGTAGTGAAGATAAAAAATGTGGTGTTTGCCTTGAAACAGTATGGGATAGAGATGGTGATAAACGTTTTGGTATATTAGAAAATTGTGATCATATTTTTTGTTTGGACTGCATAAGAAAATGGCGTGCATCATCAAATTATGAACATAAAGTTGTTAAAGCTTGGTAAAAATCATAATTATTAATTAAATATTTAAATTTAAAGCAAAAAACGCTTTTCTTTTTTTAGTCCAGAATGCCGAGTTAAATCAGATTTTATAACACCAACAAAATATTGGCCAGAGAATGAACAAGCGAAACATGAATTAATCAAAGCTTATAAGGAAAATCTTCAGTAAGTTGAAAGGATGTTTCGTATGAATAATTCGCTTAATAAAGAGCTATTTTTAATTTAAACTTATCGTTTTAATTTATACGAATGAGTTAATTTTCACAATTATCTTAGATTCAAGCGATAAGTGAATACTTCGAATTTTCATAAAGATTAGTTTTTTCTTCAGACGTTTCAATACTTTTCGTTTTCCAAGCAATATATTAATTATTAATTAATATTATGATTACGAGAGTAAAAATGTTTATAAAAATCAAGTTTACAAACTAATTGACATATCTATTTTTGTACAGAAAATTAAAAATTTGATGTCACTGGTTCACTATAGTATGGCAAAGTATATTTTTAACCCTGACATAGAGTAAACGCGAATCCCAGTGCTACTTTCATCATACTGTTACACGTATACAGTATTAGATACAACTACTCATCTTCTAGATATGCTGCTCTACTAAAGACTAGTAGAGTATACTGATAATATTCATCGATTATTGAATTGATGATGCAAAAGTGCATGTGAACGCTTGTTATAATCATCTAGAATACACTCGTACCACAGTAAGATTCATTGTAATGTTATGCATTCATAACAAGTAATCGAACCATGCCCTTTTCAGGTATGCATTGAGAATGCTTAGCACATACACTAATAACGTTAATCAATCATAGGTAGTTGTTCTATTTATAATAGAGTAGTTCAAATGATATGTGAATACGGAATAGTGATGTATGATTTCAAGCGTCTTGAAAATAGAGAATGGAGAAGACTGTGGAAAAAGACTAGATAAATAGAGTTCAAACAAACTGTTTTTCTTTTTGTTCAGCTTCTAATCAAGTTTTTACAGATTCATGATAAACTAGTAACAAATTCGTATATTATATTTATTTTATCAATTAAAGTCTTGGATCAGTCGGATTTGGATCCGAAAGTTTCGGACTCGATGGATTCTATTCTTCTATATGTGTCTCAAACGAGTCGTCTAAGAAATGTGTAGGGTACACTAGTCATCGAATAAAAAAAAACACTGAAAGAAAAGTATCTTGTATTTTTGGAACAGCCAGCCTATTCCAATAATAAAATTTCATTGAAAGTATTAAAGTACGGTTCGACTGAATCCGAAAATTTTGAAACCGACGGAGATTTTATCGTTTTTAATGAATACATGATAAGGAAGAATTTAACTAGAAGAAGAATATGTTTTCTCTCAATAGGCAAATTCATTGTAAATTTTTCAAACGTGGTGATGGTTTATGTCCATTTGGTTCCAAATGTTTCTATTTACATGTTGACAAACATGGTCAACCTGTTCGATTGGGTCCACCACGTCGTCGTCAACGTATTAATGCACATGGAGAATTAGAAAATTTTTCCGATGTTTTTATGTTAAGTGTCTTTTCTAATGAAGATATTGGACGATTCTTTGATGAGTATGTATAAAACTTAATCTTTCTGTTTTTTCTTGAATTTATACATAATATTATTTTTTTTTTTTACAGATACGATTTTCTATTTGATGACGATGATGATGAGTCTCATGGTTCATATTTGACTGATGAAGATGATTTTCGTTTGGTTGATGAACATGACATATCTGATAATGATGACGATGATGAAGATACAACTCATGTATGGCATTAAAATTTGTCATCATATATTAAAAAAAAACACGAAATCTTAACAAGGACACGCGCATATATTTAATTTGATATGCATACAGCCATCAGTGAAAATATTCCCTATATATTTATGTTAGCTATAATCTTTATTCTACCCGAGAAGATGATTTAAACCAGTTATATTTATATTTATTTATACATGTATACCTATAGTCGATTTGTGTTTGCAGATTATGGCATTGGTGCATGGAGGATGTTCATTGGATTTCAACAACAGTATATAACAGCAGATGTTTTTTTTCTCTTTTTTTTTTTTTGTGCACATTAAATAAGAACTAACTCATCGATGTCTACAATTAATCGATTTTGTTTCTCTTCTTAATTTGAAAAAATTACATACATAAATTGATAAGGATCAATATATTCTCTTATCAAAATAATTATTGTTTTTTTTTTATCAATATTAGTCGAAGATTTTAATTTTTTTATGGATTGAATCCATTGACAGTAAATAATGAAAGTTTATTTCGTCATAATATAGGTCAATGGATGAGGATTTTTGCAAGATGTAGTTGTAAAGAAGTGAAAAAATTTAAATTGACTTTTCTCATTAATATTATTCCTGAGATGAATTTTGAAAAAAATATCTTAACATAAATTATTAGTTACGATGAAATGTAGTAGAAGTTTATTGATAGATCAAGTGTTTGTGATCATTCCAAAGTCGAAAATGTTGTAAAAAAGAAAAGTAAGACAAATACTGTTTAGATATCAAAGGATAAGAACGTTTCAGAGTTATACCAAAGATACTATGAGATTTTCTTTTGTTGTTCTCATTTTTTGATGAGAGAAATTTTAAATTCTAATTTTGATTCGAGTTATCTATGATACTTGCCAAAATCCTTCGTTTTCGTGTATCAACGATTTCATGAAACTTTATACATCTGTTATACGATTTTCTATATGTCATATCGTCTGTAACGACAAAACATGGTCATACAAAATGTTATGATTGAATTTTATACAACTGCTCAAAAGAATTCTAATAATAAAAGTGCAAAATTATGACAGTTTTCCTACTGTGGAGTTGATAGTCACACTAGTTCGGAGTTGTTTACAACGGTTTTCTATTTCCGAAGCAGCAGACTTAATCTACTGTCTGATTCAGTAAGGAAGCAACGTCCTTGCGAAGACTGAATTGACCCTTTCGAAGTTTTAAATTGTTCTTCTAGAAGNACATACATAAATTGATAAGGATCAATATATTCTCTTCTTATCAAAATAATTATTGTCTTTTTTTTTATCAATATTAGTCGAAGATTTTAATTTTTTTATGGATTGAATCCATTGACAGTAAATAATGAAAGTTTATTTCGTCATAATATAGGTCAATGGATGAGGATTTTTGCAAGATGTAGTTGTAAAGAAGTGAAAAAATTTAAATTGATTTTTCTCATTAATATTATTCTTGAGATGAATTTTGAAAAAAATATCTTAACATAAATTATTAGTTACGATGAAATGTAGTAGAAGTTTATTGATAGATCAAGTGTTTGTGATTATTCCAATGTCGAAAATGTTGTAAAAAAGAAAAGTAAGACAAATACTGTTTAGATATCAAAGGATAAGAACGTTTCAGAGTCATACCATAGATACTATGAGATTTTCTTTTGTTGTTCTCATTTTTTTATGAGAGAAATTTTAAATTCTAATTTTGATTCGAGTTATCTATGATATTTGCCAAAATCCTTCGTTTTCGTATATCAACGATTTCATGAAACTTTATACATCTGTTATACGATTTTCTATATGTCATATCGTCTGTAACGACAAAACATGGTCATACAAAATGTTATGATTGAATCTTATACAACTGCTCAAAAGAATTCTAATAATAAAAGTGCAAAATTATGACAGTTTTCCTACTGTGGAGTTGATAGTCACACTAGTTCGGAGTTGTTTACAACGGTTTTCTATTTCCGAAGCAGCAGACTTAATCTACTGTCTGATTCAGTAAGGAAGCAACGTCCTTGCGAAGACTGAATTGACCCTTTCGAAGTTTTAAATTGTTCTTCTAGAAGAGAAAACCTGCATAAAAACACGTTCACATTCTTTATATAGCACGTCTTGAAATGCCATCATTATCAAGTGCAAAGTTTAATTCTGATAGGGAAAGTGAAGTTTATATTTAACAGTTGATACTGTTGGAGAAAAAGTGCGATACTCATTGCTTTTCATGAATGTAAGCGTGTTGCTGAGTTGTTCGTTTTTCTTTTACTCTTTCATCTTTTAATGCAACTAGTTGTGTAGATAAATCATTTCTTGTTGATGTTTTCTGCAAAGAAAATTGTCGTTTTTATAGACGAACATACTGAAGGATGTTATTGACATCTTTCAACAAATTTTTCCGTCAACATTGAATCCTCAAAATTCAGATGATTGCTTTGCATAGTAAGATTATACGTCGGTGAATTATGCTAATAAATCAGAGTTGAAAAACGTTGAATATTCTGAAGATCATCAACCATGTTATTGGTTAGTAAAACTTCATGGCTAAAACAAAAGCAAACTTTGATGCGTTGCGAAAGAAAAATTTACATTATTCTATTGCTTCAAGCGTCGAACAAACATATTTTATTACCTTTTACGTTTCTTTTTGACAAGCAGAAAAAAAATAAGTCCCGCGAACCGGAGTCGAACCAGTGACCTAAAGATTACAGCAATGTGACACATCTACAGTCTTCCGCTCTACCAACTGAGCTATCGCGGGATCGTTCGTTTCTATTCTCAAGGGCGCACTGCAGAAGGTCAGAACATTTAAAAAACTTATTTTTTATCTTTTTTACTGGGTAATAATTCCAAATGTGCGTTTTTTGACGAGGGAATCACTCTAGATGGTATCTCACGTTCGAGATGAAACATTCCCTATTATGTACGATTCTATTGAGACTCGGGAAGTCCTAGATAGATTCCTTCCCCTGAGCCATCCTTCGGTACTATGGTTGTTTCGCGCGATTTTTTATTTATAAACAAATTGATCAAACGTACTTTTACCTGAACATTTGTTCACAAATATCTCTTGGGACCATTAGAATATCCTAAAAATTTTAGTTAAAAGAATAATTCCATCGTCAGATATCCAACTGGACAAGAAACCAGATGGTCTGTCCTTTCTTATGGAACGTAATAGTTTTGCTGTAGATTTGAAATCTCATGAAGAAAGTATTTTTTTTGGCTGAAATATTCAGGTTACTCTAATAGTATCAAGAGCTATTTATGGACAAATCTTCAGGTGAAAGTTGGTTTGCTCGAATTTTTATAAGTAACAAACCCAGAGAAGTCGCCATAGCCCAGAAGAACCGTGTACGGCGCTGAATCCTTCTGGACTTTTCTAGTCTCTACACAACTTCTCTACTTTTGTTATTTCGAACGGCAGAATCCTATTCACGACCAACGTAATAAATTTTACAGATGTACAAAACAACAATACTATCATATAGATGAAAAGAAACATTACCCGCAGCTGTCACCAGTATTTTCCTATTTATCTCGTTACACTGTAATATATCTTCCTCCAATATGCTTCTCAGTCCAAAAATAACTTAGTACTGGTTAAACTAGATGTTCCATCTTTATGATGAATTTGTCAAAGTCGGACTTCAATAAGAAAACAGAGATATGGTTATAATCGCTTAAACTTTAGGATATTTTAATGTAAATCAAACTCCTATGTCAACAAACTTTTTTCAAGTATTATCAACGAATAAACTAAAGTGTACGTCAAGTTTCATCCTTATACGAAATATCAAACTAGACTTTTCATCATTCCTACAATATCATAAATCGATTTTGCGAAAATCTATTTTTTTTTGTCTAAAAAATCTCATACCATCACTTGTTTATGACATTCAACAAAAACAAAGTAAGTTGTCGTATACAAAAGGAAACAAAAGAAAAAAAGGAGTCCCGCGAACCGGAGTCGAACCAGTGACCTAAAGATTTCAGCATGTAACACATCTACAGTCTTCCGCTCTACCAACTGAGCTATCGCGGGATCGATCATTTTCAATTTTTACGGCTAGCAGATATAGGTCACAACATTGAAAAAACTTTTGCTTGCATCTTTTTGATATGTGAAAAGCTGCAAATGTTTTCGTTCTCTTAAAAGAATCACTCCAGATGGTACCTAGCGTTCGAAATAAAGCGTTCTCTATCAGATTGTATCTGTTGCGAGTAGATAAATCCTACATGGATTCTTTTTCTCAAGTGCAAGATAGCACCTGGAGTGGTTCCCTCGTCANACTATATCGAGGTGTCCACCATGTAGAGGTTCGATTCCAGCAAAAATCGCTCCGTCGGACCGCGAAGTGCCCACTAGAGAGAGGTGTCCACTATGGGAGGTTTTACTGTATTTTGCTTTAGTATAAGTTTTTTTTATTGATCAGTTTTGATATCAGCCAATATAAGTATATTCTTTTTTTCTAACAAGAAAAAAATATTGATAAAAGTATCCTTTTATAACCAAAACAAACAATTAATCTTCTTTTTATGATCATGAATTATTAAATATGAATATTTATATAATTAGAATACCGTTAGATCAACATATTTAGATTTTGAATATAATATAGTAATGATTGTACAATGTAATTCACATTCATTCATATATTAGTATTTAGAACAGTATATTACATGAATACGATTTTTCGCAAGCGAACTCGGATCGAAACTAATTGATCTGCAGCAGATATTTTCACTGTCATAGTACAGTTTTCAAACTTTTACTTTATAGAAAAAAGTATACTAACTATTTAGTTTCTGTCATAAACAACATCAAAAAAAGCAAGTGATTCAAGATTCACTGGATGTCTTTGTGATTCTAAAATTCGATCAATTCCAGTAAGTATACATTTGTTTGTTGCTGATAACTCAAGAACGGGGTATTTGATCCGAATGCATGACACTACTTTAGATAAAGCTAAAACAATACATATGACAATTAATTTTGATTCCATGAAGTTCTATTAAGTTTCTATTCAATTTTGTTACCTAGTATCACGCACTGTCTAAAAATTATAGAATAGATAATCAATTCAAAGACATTTATAGCTACTATAGAAACCTTGTGCATTCGATCACTGGAAACACATCATGTCATACGTAGATGCTTCACTGTACATGTTCATAATATCTATTTTTTCGGTAAACATAAGTTGTAGTAACCAATACTGATTTATTAATGACTTCTGTTTACAACAGACTTTTCATATTGGATTCGTTAACTATTGTCAATATAGGGATTTAAAAGTAGAAAAGTTGCATGTATTACAATCGGTAAGTTTTCGACTTTAATATATATTCTTATTGAAAAAAAAAAAAGTTTAATTCAAATGTTTTTTTTTTTATTTAACCAATTGATGGTACTGATGAAACCTTACGATTGGCGTCAAAGAAGACATGTACACGATTAGGTCGAAAATCAAACGTTACAGGTGAACCTTCTGGTAATGGAATCACATCGAAATCTGTAAAATATATACATTGTTAACATTCAAATTTAAATAAAAAACTATCATTTTTTTTTTTCTTACTTGAATTTTGACTTTTAATTGTTACAACAGCTTGATAAACTGGTTTACCAACCAGATTAGGCCACGATTCAGTATTTGACATATTTACGTATTGTAAATGATGCGAAATAATAATTTCGGCTCTAATAACTATGTTCTTTATATATGGATAATCAATCAAACGAAAAATATTTGTTTTCTTTACATATGCAACATAAAGTACTTGTTTCTGACCGATTCTTTCTTATCGAAGAAAAGAATCAGCATCGTTATACTGCTGGAACAGGTGAAAAGCATATTCAGCTACTGATTAAAATCATATATGAATTGATATTTACTTTCAAGAATCGTTTACATGTCAACGAAAAATATTGATCTACTCCATGAAATTATTGACACAATTTTTTTCACCATCTACGTATATAGCTGAGAAGAATGCGAACCGATTTCTTTTTTCGATTGAATGATAATTGAAATGAATAGCTATAGAAAAATAGGCCTATAAGGAGACTACAGAGAATAGAAAAAAATCTTGATTCAAAATAGCTATTGAATATGTAACTATTTGTCGTCCTTTTGAATATACGCAGAATTTCATAACTTTTACTTTATTCTGAAACACAAGTTTTTCAATATAAATGACAGACATATGCATAATAATAGTGACAAAAATGAAAGTCTGTGTATCTATCCGTTTACAACTGTTTAAATGAAATCATAAACTCAAATTTTGTTTTCTGACTACGATGAATTGTATTATTCGTATTTATTTTTTTCAGTACTTTTATAATACATTCTCTTGTGCGATAGATAAAGTTACTAAAAATTATTCTCTATCAAAGTCAATATTATCATACAGAAAATTTGTCGCTTCTATTTTGTCGACCATCGAATCGATTAATCGAGCATTCAAACCGTCGATACTATGTTTTTCGATCTCTTTATACTTTGAACATTGCCTTAGACTTTCAACAATATCAGTGATAAATAGGAATTTCAAAATATAATGACGAGTTCTATACTAGGTTGAAAGATAAGATTACAATGTTCCATACAATAGGCAATATGAAATATATGAAATCTGATCATCAGTTATTAATGACACTGTTGTTTATATTTAAAAGTCATTTATCTTTATTTAAAAAGGCGATTCAATAGAGATAATTGAAACAAATTATCATGGGGAAGTTCTGAGTTTTGATAAAGCAAAGAAACAAGAAATCGTTAACAAATGAACAATTGCAATGTGATTTGTGGTGTATTGTACATCTACATAAGATTAGAATATGAAATAAAAAACCTGAAATCAATAAATTTCTTTTATTATTTATCATCAAATACAGATAGTTTTGGGGAATTTATTCAATATCATCGGATAACTATACTTCGATTTTCAAGTTATGATTGTACAAAGTAATTCTAATATATGGTGTTATTTGTTTTCTTTTAAATAAAACTCAAAAACAATCTATAGGAAATGAGTGTTATGTTAAACACACGCGAATATTTCTATTTTTATTATATAAAAAAATTAAATATGAAATATACCAATATTATACGTTAGAAATAAGTGAAGTTTATGATTATTACGAGTTTCGATTAACTATTTACAAATGGTTTCCATTCCTAATTGATTTTGGTCCATTGAATGAGTTTAAAAAAAAAATATATATATATATAACTGATAATATGTTAACTACTATTTATTGAAAAGATTTGAAGAAAAAAAAAACAACATATATTAATCATGTTATTCTATTATAAACATGAAAAAATAATAAAATGTTTATATTGGATAAGTTATTGAGCATGAATATTTTTTGTTATTGGAAAAAAAAGCTTTTATAAAAATTAGTTATTTTATTTAACCAAGTGATGGTGTGTATGAAACCTTGCCATCTTCACCATAGAGCACAACTATACGATCCATTATAAAATCAAGTTCTATTGGTGACCCGTCTTTAAACTTGGTTATATTTAAATCTATAAAAAATAGACAATCTTTTCCCTATGAATTCCAACTCAAAGTAACAATTTTCTCTTACTTGGATTTTCCTTTATAATGATGTCAACAGCATCATCAACGGGCTTCCCAACGAGCTCAGGCCACGAGTCTTTACTTGACATATTTATGAAAACTGAATATTATAACATAAAAAATACGTCATTAAAAACTATTTATATGTTTCGCTTGTTTTTCTCTTTATCTCTCTCTCGTTACTGCTGCCTATTGATAAAATGAATCAATGTCCTGTATTATTCATATAAATCGATGCGACACATAAAAGAAAGGTGCAGGTAGCAAATAAAGCTATTTATAAATAGAAAAAAGTAATCATGTTTGTTTTTTTTAAATCGAGCATGAATAAGGCTTAATTAGAACACATTGATATTAATCCTTTATTTTTCATTTCAAACGAATCTTACATAAGATTGAATGATATTCATGTATTCGATTACGGTTGGAGTAAAATGTTATACAGCAATCATTGAAAAGAATTGTGAATCAATTCTCTTTTGAATTTAGTAATACTTACAAGAAATATAGAAAAATTTTCAGCAAAAAATATTTAATGATAGAAAGAAATCGAAACGAAAAAAGTAAGAAAATCGGAGCTCAAATAGAAGACTCGATATATTACTTACCTTTTCTTTTAATATTTGTACGATTATAACATCTTGTACTTGTTCTGGATTAGTAAAGCATTCGAGAGATATGAATATCTGCTCGTAAAAAAAGTGAGAATTGTGAGAAGTCTACGTTAATTATCGTTGAAGCATTTAATATTTATTCACTAATAACTTTTCGTGGATATCAACAAATTACATCAATAGTATTGATTTTTTTTACCTCATTCGTTGTTTATGTTTCAGAAAACGTTTTTTCGTGCTGTACCGGATGAACAAGAAAAATTTTTCTAGAGTTGTGACTCCGTGATTTCAAATGACATTAACAGATAACTTCATACTAAATTATTAGTGCATTGAAAATGGGTTTTGCCAAAACTAAACCCGTGAGAATTATGGCAACTTTTCAATGTCGAATTCAGAAAGTTTCTAAAACTCTACATCATATCATCACAGAAAAATTCCGTTCATGAAGCAGCTAAACTAGACCTCATATAGAATGATGGATATCAAAAAGTGATATTCATCGTTTTTCTTTTAAGATTTGATGAATATAATCAACAATCATTATAATAACTATTGTCGTTTTTACAGCAAGATAAAATAGATCAGTCGTTTGTTTCAATGTTTGTTAAAACATATGAGTCTCTGATAGAAATTTTCTTTAGTCAATATTTCCGGATCAGATATTCACTACGTCATAATTTTTCATTATTTTATATCAGATCTACTTTGAACTGCTTCATGAAAGGAATTTTCTTCTACTGATATGGCGTAAAATTTTCGGAATTTGGCACTGAAAATTTGCGGTAACTTTTACTATTTAGTATTGTCAAGTTTCACTTTTGACTTGCTTTAATTTTGTATAAAATTTATTGTTGATATTCTTTGAAATCATAATGTTACCTTCTAGGACATACATATTTTAATAATTTTCGTTACGAGATATTTTCAAGTGATCATTAAATTCATAATTGTCATCTTTTATTTTGTGTGTTTTTGCTTCTCTTGTCTCAAATAAAACTGCACTAAGATATGAATACTAACTCAACTCGATCCGTTCAATGTAACAAACATTGAGAAGCAACCTATGCTACAATAAGATCTTCCATTTTTGGCTGAATCGTACACTTGGGTAACCGCTACGAAAATTGGATTTAAAAAATTTTTTACATTTTCATCACCAACAAGAATTAAAAGTATGCCAAATGTGATTATTGTTTAGATACAGAAAGGAAATGAATTCCGATGAGTGAGAAATTAAAACATCTTATACATGTATCAATAATCTTATGTAAATCGAACAGATAATATGTTTGTTATTCAAAGAAATATGCTGATTCTTACCATCGAAACTAACAATATACTGGAACAAAGTAAAAAAACCTGCATAAATCAATCATATTCAGATAGAATTCTACAAAAACATAACAAATTTTCAAAACAACTATAATAACCAATCTTTGCAGTACTACTTCTGATTCATCAAGGATTTAGTTATACTATCTCCGATAGTGTTTTAATGCTTATTTTTTTTTAACAACACATTCTACTTCATTTTTCTGTACATACAATAAATTATTAGAAAGCAAAAACTATATGAAGCTACAGTAATTCAGAACATCTGCTCAATCACATATTAATAGAGTGTGGGTGAAGAGGAAATGCACCTATCTACACTTACACTCTTGAGAGAGTTGCACAAGAAGAAAATCAATATATCAAGACTTTTCATATACGAACGCGATGAATTACATATAGGTAAAAGTGATTTCCATACATTTATTTTTATTTTTCTGTTTTATCATTTTATGAAGTAAGAACGAGAGGTAAAGTTTTCTTCTTGACATCAACAGATCATCTTCAAGAGATATTATGATTCTTGAAAAAACCATCAACATCGATCTCAAGTCAAATTCGGCGAAATTTTCTAATAAAATTTGTCAACTTTTCAACATGTATAGAGCAAGCTCTTTTTATTTTCAATACATTGACAAAGATTTATATTGAAAGCCTATGCACCCAGTGGTCTGCATGGATTACCAAAGAGAATACAAATACCAAGATATTATCGTAAAACTAATACCATCAGTTTTCTATTTCATACTTCCAAGTACTGAAGTCAAGTTTTTCCGTTTTGGTCTCAACCGCATTTGAAATTCTTTCTACCAAATAATTGAATGAAAATATTTGTATAATTTATTCGAAATAAGATATACATGCTTGAATTTCTCCCATAAAACGATAATAATTCAAATAAATATGTTGACCCTATCCTTTTATCTTCATTAAGATAAAGCTGAAACAATTGGTCCGACAGTTATCCATGATGGATAACAAAAAGTTTGAGTTTCTCCATGATACATGTTTGTTTGTACTAGTGCCGATGTACCATAGTACTCATAAATACCGGTGGTAGAGCACTTACGACTTTTGACGGCACTTATAAATGATTACAGGCAGCGTTCTTTATTCAAATTCAAATTTATTGAGAAAAGAACCAGTTTCAGAACATATTTCACTAATAAAAATTTATTTTATAACTAGGATCTATTGGAACTCTATGGCTAGTATAAGATAGCTTAGGCACAGCAACATTATCAGAATGCATCTAAAACAACTCAATTCTTCTGTTAGTTTTAACAAACTTAAAAAATATTCATTCATCTTGATACAATACGTCATCGTACAACACTTTTGAAAAATACCGGTGATATAGCGCATATCATTATATCAGCAGTAGTTATCACAAAGGTCTATTTCATTTTATTTTTAGTGTTACGAACTGTCTGTATAATTATCGTTAATTTAAAAATTGAAAAGAAAAATTAATATTTCTGTATATTACAGTCGATACAACTTTCGGTCGGAATATTTATTCTAATTGAAAAAATAAACAATTTTATTGAAATGTTCTTTTTTTATTTAACCAACTGCTGATATCGATAAATGAAACCCCTTCTGTTATAGAAGACATGTACACGATCCTGTCGAAGATCATGTGTTACTGGTCAATCTTCTAGTAATAGAATTACTTGTAAATGTATAAAATATGTACATTTTTTAACATTACGATTTAAAACAAAAGTCATCTGTTTTTCTGTTTTGCGTAGATTTTGACTTTGTATTATTGAAATAACTTAATTAACTTGTCTACCAACCAGGTTAGACTATGTTTGATTTCTTCTTGACATATTTACGTATTGTGAATATTTAGAAATAATGTCATTTCTGCGCTCTCTTTCGTCTATTTATAGGGATAATCGAATAAAAGAACAGTATTTATTCTTTGTTTTACATGATATCCTTGAAGACAATGTTTTTCATATGTTTGTACTATCTATTGAATTTACGACTCGTCATCAGATGACTTTTTTTTTCTATGATCGATATAATAGATGAAAAAAGCATGTATTGTTATGAATAAAAACATCTATGAAAAGAAAAATGGTCGTATTTGTTTTGTGAGCAATACTTTGACAACCATTTTATCCTTGCACGTTGGGCATGATCATTTATTTTCAATAAAATAAAATGTCTTTATTTTAAATGAGTCTCATAAATATTACTAATAGTTCAGTATAATTTTTTCCAGTTATTATTGAATATAATTGAGCAAAAAAAAATGATGTGATTTTTATTGAATAAAGTTAGAAGAAACAAAACAAAATTTTCATATAAAACAAGCAATAAGTTATGATTTTAATAGAAAAATAGTTTCAAAATGTTGAAAACAATCGATACGGTAATATCTGATCATAAATAGCTGATAGCTTGCTTTTTATATTTCAAGACCACTTATTCATATTACCGAAGAAGATCCTAATTATTGATCAACTATATATAGAATTGACAAGCATCATAGAGAAATTTTGATTGATATTCTTTGATTATTTCTGTGAATATTTCTTTCAACAACTACGAAACTTTTTATTGGATTTAGTTTCAGTCTCTCTAATCAATTGCAATTTGATACTTATCGATTGATTATTAAAACAAAGCAAAAAATAAAATAAAATGAAAAATCTAAACCACCGGTTAATTGCATTTATTATGCATTTTCTGTCGTCACACAGTAATAATGCCATCCACCACTCCATTCTACTTTTCTACATTTCATACGACGAAATAATGGACTCATACAATGTAATTTCTCTATATGTTCAATATATGTTTGTTTAAATGAACAGTCAAAACGTTCTAACCATGGTACACGTGTAACTAGTTCAAAAGCAAGTTGTTTAAAATCAACAATTGTTAAACTATCACAAGCGACATAAAGATAATGTAAACATGGTAAATGTGATAATAATGGATATAAATCATCTAGTCTATTACATGTATTCATTGTTGTATGTAAATGAATTAAATGTTTATGTTGATAATTTGTATTAGCAATAGAAATTTTTGATATTGTATCATCCAACATCCATCGTACAATAGTGACTTTAAGACAACGTAATGTTGGTTGTAAAGATAATATTAAATCAATATCACAT